TAGCAAAAAAAATTTAGGAAAAATTATAAAAAAAAAACTTCTTTTAATCACCAAACGAAATGTTACATAAAAAGAAGCCATCTGGTGGCGAAACGGAGTTCGCCGGGTTTGCTAGTTTGTTATATAAACTCTTTGTATTAATTTTTATTTTTTAAACATGTAACTGCTGGATGTTTAAATCTAAAGAAAATATTACTAGAAAAAAATCCACGCGAACCAGGCGGACGGCAGACGGGACTCAAACCCGCACCCTTCGCTATCCCGGCGAATGCACTGACCAATTATGCTACCGTGGCTCTAATGGCCGTGTCGAATTATTTCTAGCCTTTCTTAAGCTGCAAGGCAGCGGCCATCTCTTCGCATTGTAGGTAGCCCACAATGTCAAATGAATACCTTTACAAGCATTAAACATTTGAAAGTAGAAATAGCAATTATAGTTACATTTTTTTATATAGTTACAATAATTGTTTTTACTAATTGTATCTGGCGATTCTTCACAACAGTTGTATTATTATAATCTAAATAATAATAACATCTAGGCAACAAAACACTTACTGGAGTTTAATTATTTATTGAAACTGGCCGTAAAATCAGTTGATGTTACTCTGATTTACAAAAATAGTGAAAATTAAACAATTTTGACAAAAGTAAGAGTCGATACCAACAAAACAAAGGTTATAGGTAGTCGTTTAAAATAACGTTCATAGCATTGTAAGTACCTATTTGTATATTAAATTAATAAAATAATAAATATATATTTTTATGTATGTAGTCTTAGATAGGTATATAATCTACAAGAACTTGTACACATCTCTTCACCCGGTTACATTTGTCTCTCACTACATCTTGGTTGGCTGGAAGAGATCTCTCTTAGAGATAAGCCCTCCTTTGGGCACATATTTATGTTTTATAATTTACTATTTTTTGTATGCAACAAAGAGTCATTTTTTTTCAGACAACACAGTATACATATTTTAGAACAATAATGACTCACTAGTAGATGCTGGCGACTCCGCCTGGGTGGAAAAAATAGTTTCCATACAAATTTTACAAACACATTTTCAACCCCTTGAAGGGTGATTTTTAGGATAAAAACTGCTCTATGTCCTTTCCCGGGACTCAAACTATCTCTATCACAAAATTCATGAAAATCGGTTCAGCGGTTTAAGCGCCAAAAGGTAACAGAGATGAGAATAGATAATGATAACAAGTGTTAGTACCTTGTAACTGAGTATTAAATACACTTTTTTTAATAGGTAATTTTCAGGTACTTAATTTCAGTCATCATTTGCAAGGTATGCCTCCAAAATTTCGCAGAGGATTCCTCTGACACTATTCTAAACTTTGTTATTACTGCTCCTTACTTTCGCACGCTACACATCAGTAATCAGTAAATACATTTTGTCCCGTCTAGGGTTACCATCCATCCGGATTTGTCCGGACATGTCCGTGGACTTTTTGCCTTTTGTCCGGCTTTTCAATTTGTCCGGATTTTTTTAATTAGGTGGAATATGAGTAAAACTACTTATTAAGTTATATGAAACTAGTGGCCCGCCCTTGCTTTGCTTCGCTGTAGAGCTGTAGTGTAGACTATAGCTTTTGTTCAAAGGCTTGTATTATACAATGACATTCTCCATAATAATTATAAACCTTCCATTCCGAGTAAAAAATCGTTGCGTAGTTTAGGACCCGTTGTACCGAATGCAAAATTGTTCTGCTGTTCCGATTTGAAAAAATATTTTTGTATTGGACAGTGAATTTATCGAGGAAGGCTATAGGCTATATATTACCATGCTACGACCAGTAGCAGCGGAACATCGATGAAAAATGTTGCAAAAACGGGTAAAAAAAATCCATTTGTGAGATTCCGTTGCGTGCGCTGGGTATACGGTTAAAGTTACACAAAAATCATGTATGACGGAATTCTTCCCCTTTAAAAGTTCTGTAAAAAAGTCCACGACAGCCTATGTACATTTTTTAAGTTTGACTCACTATAAACCTTTTTCTTCAAATTAAGGCGGGTGAAACCGCAGGGGACCTCTCGTTGTGACATAACTGTAATAGTTAGACATATGGTATCGCGGACTTTTTTTGTAGATATTGGTATCCTCTACAAAACTTTAGTACATCACTTTACTCTATTATCAATGACTTCTGCAGCGTGCGCGATATAAGGCTATTTACTGGTATATTTTACACATATATTTGTTTTTATACGGATCCCTAACTTTTTTGAAAATACACTATAGCCTATATTAATCAGTGTTAATGTACCATTCAAATGGTATAAGATTTTTTTAGATCGGTCCAGCACTTTATGAGCCAATTCGTTACAAACATACTTACATACAAACTTTTCCTCTTTATAATATTAGTATAGATAAGTGGCTGGCCTCGCGGTGCGAACGTCAGCTACAACGCGTTTAATATCACTGTAACTAAGTTGGTGATGTCCGGACTTTTATCGAAATGTCCGGTTTTTTGTCAGGACTTTTCAAATTTTTAAATAGTAACCCTATTCCCGTCAAACTTCTTGAGCAACGACCATAGACAAAGAAGCCTGCCCCAGGGGCCAATCGCCAAAACGGATTGCTATGGCTATCGCTTTCGTTTACGTTTTCATTTTGTTATTTCTGACCGCCGAAGGTTTTTAAAACGCCCTTTGCTCTTTTTTTCTTTTGTATTAGTAAAAACATTATTAAAGAAAAACCTTCGGCGCACATAGGGGTATTTTACTGATCTAGCCGGTCAAAAAACAAATTATAAGAATTTGTCACCGATGAAAAAAAAGCTGGTTCTTTTAGTTCTCGAATGACTAGAGAACAATAGACAACCCATCCTGGGGGCCATTCGCCTAACGGAAATGCTTTGGAAAACGCTAACGCTTACGATTTCAATTTGTTATTTCTAGCCGCCTGAGGTTTTCAAATGCCTCGCGCTCTTTGTTTTTCTTTTGCATTGGTAATAACAATATTAAAAAAAATAGCGTGAAGTATTTGAAAACCTTCGGCGGTCAGGCCATTCGCCTACGGAAATGCTTTGGTAAAAAACGCCTACGGAAATGCTTTTATCAATTTCACATACAAAAATATCTACTGCGCAAGTTTATATGTCTGTGGTTTTGGTCAAGTTTGTAGCGTCTAACGAAGTTTAATAAACAGTTTATACACCAACATTATTGCATTTTAAAATGGCACAATCTTCCCCGCCCCAATTACCCTTGGCAAAAGCCGCCAATAGAGCGCACTAAAGTAGACTCTTTCACTCTCATTCATAAATCAGATTACATCTCGCTCTTTGACCTACATGTGTCAACGGTGACAGCAACTGTCAAAGTAAGTAATCACTAAATATTTTTACATAAATTTCTTTAAAACTGTACTTACAAATGATAGGACACGTTTTTTCTATCTCTAATATTTGTGTACTATCTAAAAACGCACATAGTAGTAGCGAAGTGTAGCCGCGGCGAGGGAGCTTACCCGACTGAATGCAAGTCGGGCAATTACCTGACATTCGTATTGCTATTTTAGAAGCGTATAATAATATGACGTATCTTTAATATTGAACATTATAGGCTGCGACTTATAACAATAATTGTGCCAAAAAGTAATGTCATTGAAACAACACCGAAAAACTTGGAAATTTCTGAATGCTTCCTTCTTCTTGAGTCAGTCGTATTCTTCTTCGTTCTTGCTTCTTCTGCGTTGATCAACTCTGTCATTTGTTGCCCTTCGCTAGGCAGCTGGCAAACTACACAGCAAACTGCCATACGATGAGCCGCAACCGACATGAGTTTTATTCATCTTTTATTCATATCCTTCATTTTCTTCATATTTTTGATCTTCTTCCTTCGTACATACCTCAAAAGTTTTTTTTAAAATACATTGCTATGTAATATTATAATTCTTAGTTTTTTTATAATCATCAGTCAGGTGAGGCTAGCTTAAGCTATTAAAACAATAGCTCAAGGTCGATATAATTTGTATTGAAGTTAATGATGAGACGATAAGGACAACTATTTTAGATAACAATTGTACCTACGTCATATGATTTTTTTTACAAAAATCTTTTTTTAAACTAATCTTACTTTATCGCACTTTCCTAAAGTTACTTTTAAAATAAAACTAGAAACTTCAAGCTGGTACCTATTAAAAGCAGATTGAAATTATTTCCAAAAGTAAGGAAAATGGTTTTCTTTACGTCAAATGCAAATAGAAAACATTTTATTGTATGGCTAAACAAATGAATCCTCCATAACACCATAACCACGTACAGAAAGTGTATATTGAGTGCAGAACTTTAGACTTGAAGATAGCTTAGCTTGCGTACTATATGGCCTATATCTACTATACGTGGGTATACCTTCATTTTATTTTGTTTCCCACCATGGTAGTGGGTGAGAAATACAACATGGATACCCATAGCCGGTTGCAGGGTCAGGTTATATGAACTTCAAACTTCAAAACATTTATATTGCATTTTATATGTTGTGCGTTACGAGTTCCAAACATAAACCTCCACTAAGACACAGCCAAATGGTACCGAAAAATAATAACCGCACTAATTAAATTAAATGGAATATATATATATACATAAGATTAATGTGTTTTTAACAAATTTTACTCCGCGTAACCCAACAAGTTCAACCCGCGTAAACCAACAACTTCAATCTTAGCGGGGGAGACAACTTGTTGGTTGCACCCTGTTTTTGCCGCATTAGCTAACTTCGCAAGTTGACACATAAAATCGGATAGGATGGATTAATAAACTTTGTTTTGGATTTGTATTCACAAAAAACCGAAATTCTGAACGTTATTACAAAACTAAAATCTATTATATTGGTCTGCCCGTATGATGCCACAGAAAGAAGGCGTTTACGCCACGTTGTTCCCATTGGGAACATTAATACTGATTAAAGACAATAAATCTTAGAGAAAAAGACACTTAGACACATAGTTAAATACAAACAAAAGTGATTATATATTTTTTCAACTCACCAATAGCGCAATGACATCGCCTCGTCTAACGGTAAAACCACGATTAATTTCGGCGCCAACTCTGCAACGCTAATAAACAGTGTTTTATCTATAAGGAAAGCCGCTGTTTTTATTTAAAACCACTAATTAAGACTCACTGGACGAACCAACAAAGTTTAGTCGCTATAGAGCCACAACAACATAACTGGACAAAGCGAAGTGTGTAGTGATGTATGCGTTTCCCGGAATAATTTGCTGGACCGATGATTTTTCAATTTCGATATTTTTCATTGTTCTTTAAAACATATTAATCATCAGTGCGTTTGTACTTAGGGGAACTGTATTTTTTTGTTTGACGTCACTGGTCTTTTGTTGTGGTCATCCTAAGACAGTAATTATGATTTGTAAGTAACTGTAATCACAATACTTACAGTAAAAATTTTACATACCAATGACACAGAGACAGAGAAATACGGATTAATTACGAGCAAAAGAACAAAATATTAATGAAAGCACTCACAAAGTCACCTTTACTTTTTCAGAACCTATTAACAACAGAAAGTGATTTACTATCACAATAAGATTGAAATATTTGTAAGCATTCGTATCTCCTTTTAAAGAGATGAGATAAAGATTTTTGAAGAGAACTAATTAAAATGCTGCTGTAGGTATTCCCTGCGCCGCCATTTGGAGCCTTGCAAAGAGCTGAACAAATTTTAGTGCTTCACAATTGACTAATTCGCAAGTTAGATAAATAAGGAAAATTCCACAATCTATCGGTGCTTTAAGCTAAACAGTTTGGCCAACGACCTCAGTATAATTAACTGTAGAGTATTTTAGGTAACTTAGTTAATTCTCAACAAGTGGTGGGTACCGAAAAAAGTTTTAAATTTAAACCATTTTTGCTTTACGTTGTTAATTTCAATCGCTATAAATGAAAATTTCAAACTGAAATCCTTTATTATTAATTGTGGGTTACCTCCGAAGAGATGGCGCTGCCTTGCAGTTTAAGGCTAGGAAAATTTCGACGCGGCCATCAGGGCCGTGGTAGCAAAGTTGGTCAGTGCATTCGCCCAGATTGCGAAGGGTGTGGGTTCGAGTCCCGTCCGCTGCCTGGTCTGCGTGGATTTTTTTCTAGTAAAACTTTTCTTTAGATTTAAACATCTAGCAGATAAATGCTTAAAAAATAAAAACATAACTGAAATCCTTTCGCTTGGACATCACTAGCTGAATTTGAAGCAGACGGTTATCGAATGGAACAGGAAACCAAGCAGGAAGACCGGGACACGATATGGTACCTACTGCGACGAAAAAAATAACTTGTGTCATCGACTGTTTTACACGCGTTATTTATGTTACTAACAATATCTATCGACCTTTAATTAGGTATTGTTTATTATAATAAAATTACATAATGATATTAACTTATTGTTAAGTATGATTGGGATTCAGCTTCATTTTAATTTTTTTGTAAGAAAATTGGTACAAAAGTTACATATTTTTTTAATATCTGTCGACCTTTAATTAGGTAGGTATTGCTTATTATAATAAAATTACATAATGATATTAACTTATTGTTAAGTATGATTGAGATTCAGCTTCAGGTTAATTTATTTGTAAGAAAATTGGTAGTTCGAAAGGTATATATGGTTACATATTTTTTTTATACTTTTATTTTCACGTTTCCTGCCATCTTCCCCACCTTATCTTAAGCAGTGTTTCTCATTTCTAACCTCTTCTTCACAGCTCTCGCTGAGATCCTCTTCTAACCTACTTCTTGAGATTCCCTGTCACTCTTCTGACTTCTTTTCTTACTCCTTTTCTGTGTACACTGCTCGACTTTGGAATTCACTTCCTGAGGGTATCAGAAAAAGTTCACTGAATTCCTTTAGCGATCAAGTTAAATGCTATTTCCTTTCTTTACCTAAAATTCATTTAATATCCTATTTCTTTGCTTCTAATATATTTATGTATAGCTCCTGTATCTACTTTTGCACCCTTCTATATTTCTCTATTATTATTCCTTTTCTACCATAGGTTTCCTGGAAGAGATTCTTGTTTAGCAATAAAGCTGCCTATTGTACTCTTTGTTCTGTTTTATTTGTTTATGTCTTGTGTCCTTTGTTGTGTGCAGTAAAGAATATTTATTATTATTTATTTTTTTCAGACACACACTCAGGGCCAGACCGTGAGTTTAGGGGGCCCTGGGCTCATAGTACTTAGGGGCCCACCTAATTACTCAAAGTATAGAAAAAAAACCTTTAATTAAACATATATAATACAAAATACAGTAAACTATTTAATTTAAATTATAATATATTATGCCTTAGTGTTATACAATCGTTAATAAATGGACAAATTACAAAGAGACCTTTCTACAAAGTGCAGAAATGGCAAATTCTTTAATTTGCTCCTCCCATTATAGGGGTAATATCAATGGAGTTATATTCAACAATGTATTTTTAGGGCCCCTTGAATCCACGGGGCCCTGGGTTGAAGCCCAAAAAGCCATATGGTATATCCGGCCCTACACACACTAATCTCAAGAAACTGACATACAAATAACAACAATTTTAAAAGTGCCTATCTATAAGAAGTCTAAAAGAAAACATAGATTAATGTCGTCTTTTCTGCCTCGTCCTCCTCAATAGAACAGTTCCCAATCAACCACGTTTTAAGTTTCCTTTTGAAAGTATTCATAGGAAAAATATTGAGATCAAATAGATGACTACACATAGGTGTAGATCTGCGAAAATAGGTGAAATCATTATCCTCGGCCTATTAACGCACAGTAGGCACTATTAAGAGGGGAGGCGCGCAATCTTTTTTCCATACAAACGTTCTCGACTGATTGATTCCTTCTTGATTTTTATTATTTAAGAAATGATTTTCATACATAAAGTATAATTTTATACATTCTACGCTCCTATGTTTTCCTTTTTTCGGTAACTTGTGTTTCAAAGAAACTAGAAGCCCTCGAAAAGGCCAAATAAAAACAAATTTTTATCACCACTGAAGACGTCTAGTGTGGAGATTTAATAAGCATTTACAAAAAATTCAAATCATAGAGGCATACTATAACTACTTATTATTCTTTGTGTAAAATTTCTTTTACATATATCTTATTTTCGAGGAGGAAATCGTCGAGAGCAAGAGAGCCAAACCTCGAATTTTGCAATTTTTATACGCAATTTTCAGCGTTTACTACTGTTCTCCCTACCACACGGTATTTGCCAATGACAGCAATATTTTTTTCAAATACCTAAGTATGAAAAACTACTGCTGTCATTAGGTCAGGATCGAACCACCGATCAGTTGGTGTCGACCCAAGACCGTTACCGTTCAGCTATTCGTCTCTCATGGTAAATGATAAAATTACGGATACTTTATTTTCTTAAAACGCTTCTATTAAAAAGTTACACATTGTCTTTAATTTACGAATTAGATGTCGCTTAAACGAAAATCACTCGACCCGCATACATTTTTAGTCAAGCAATCATCAAATCATACGCCAAATACGAGTAGTAGCGCTTAAGCGACATTGGTAAAAAAATACCAAATTATGTCGCTTCAGCGTTATGAACTAGGTTCTATATTTTTTTTTTAATCAAGTCACTTAAGCCCCGAAAAATGAGGTCAAACATTTCAAATCAACGTAAAAAAGCTGTTTACAAGATATAGGTAAACTCAATTTTGGCCTCTCCACTGTCGATATGATGTAAGTTGCAATGTTTGCAATAAATATTTCTTCCGTTTCGTTGTCTTATTACCACCATTTAGGCATGGAACCCCAAAAAAAAATTTTTTTTCAAATAATATTGCTGAACCCATTCCGTGGCTGAATCTATGTTTCCAAAGCGAATTCCTACCTCCCGCGTATATTTGTAATATCAGGGGCTATTTAAAGTTCCAATGTTGGTATTTTTCCTGAATATAATACCATGGTCAATAAATATAATGTACCTATACGGCATGCCACGCCAAACAAGGAAAACGGGCAACTAGGAATATAAAATTAATAATATGGTTAGCTACCTATGCGAGTAATTGATAGGTTTAAGTATTTAGGTACTCAATAAATAAAAACAAAATAATATTAATTTCATAATTATTGTCATGGACTTGTTATTAAATTTCAAGTAAGTAGGTGTATCATCAAAAGCCTATCCTAGTCCACTGCTGGACATAAGCATCTCCAATTGCACGCCACTCAGATCGATCTTGGGCTACTCGCATCCAGTTCCTGCCAGCCACCTTGCGCAAATCGTCACTCCATCGTGCCTGAGGACGTCCTACACTACGTTTGCCTAGATGCGGTCTCCACTCCAGCCTCTCTAAGCAATATATCGGCATTAACTGTCAGACTACTGTCAAACTCCAACTTTAGTCTGACTGTCGGCATTAACTGTCAGACTACTGTCAAACTCCAACTTTAGTCTGACAGTTAATGCCGATATATCGCTTTATCATATCCCGTTTCGGTGGTCATGCTAGAGGGGCTGAACAGAAGTAGGTATATGTTACATGTTATATAACAATACAACTTACAAAATTAACAATACAGCACAGCATCGACCCATTTTTTGAAAACAAGTCCGGATTGCCCTGGGCCAATGAAGGAGTGGAGGGGCCACAGAACAAAGAGGTTAGAAGGGCCTTGCGGGCGGGGCAGGCGCGCGCGCCTCAGTTATAAGTGAGCAAATGCTTGTCCACATCTGATAGCTAAAATAAATTATCGCATTCCTAAATACCAAACCCGCAATACAACCGTTTTTCAGGTTCCACCGTGCCGCACGAACTATTTACAGAACTCAGTTCTGCTACGACTGGCTCAAACTTGTAACCAATATTTTAATAGCATCGACGTCTTTTCAAATAGCAAGGAAAAATTTAAAATGGAAGTTGTTGAAACACTAAAAGGAGTCTGATCAGTGAATGCGTTAGTGTAGATATGTGAAGGTATTGTTTTTTTTTGGAGTGTAAGTGTGTGTGTATCTGCGTCTATGTATAATTATGTGAATGTGTATCGTATGTATAGGTATGTGTGTCTTTCTACATTTAAAAACTCCGTGGAGTTGCTTTTTTGTTCATTGTTTGTATATTGTATTTTTATTTCTCATGGCTGTTACTTAATTTATTCGTTGTCAACTTGTCATATAAATAATCATCTCCGATGTACACTTACTATTTTTAAATTAAGCGAAACCTGTAATTGGCCAT